TGGAAACCCAAATAGCACAGTACTGAAAACCATCAAAAGAAGCATGAAAAACAAAGTGAAACTTATCTGTCAGGTTTTACTATTCAGAGTGAGTGAAGTGCAGCACAGTATGAAAATTAAATTAGTTTTTTTCATTTGCATTCTTAATATCATATGTTGTTAGAAACACAGGTAAAGAAACGTTTTTCAGAAATGAATCATTTTCATCTTCACATTGTCTCTTAAATACTTCAAAAACAGCAAAATATGGTCTGCTACCCCCAAAATCACCTTATTGCAAGTTCTATCTTTTTTGAGTTGATCCTATAGGTGAAATTCTGTCTCTACTGGAATTTTGCCATTGACTTCCATAGGGTCAGGGTTTCACCCCATGTGTGCAATGTATTTGGGGAGGAAATACAATTATTTATATCAGGCCCTCAAGATCATAGAACTGACACTACAACAAAAATCCTTATTCTTTCCCCCTTTATTTCTGATTCCAGAGTTTAATCACTGCCCATGATCAGTTTAAAGCCACTCTGCCAGAGGCAGACGGTGAGAGACAGGCTATCCTGTCGATCCAGAATGAAGTTGAGAAGGTTATTCAGAGTTACAGCATCAGAATAAGTGCAAGCAATCCTTACAGCACCATCACTATGGATGAAATCCGTGCCAAGTGGGATAAGGTATTGTATGCTAAAGGTGGAAATGACATTGCAGGAATAATGTTTTGGTTGTATGAATGATAAGAACAGAGACCCACACTGACTGTCCAGAAGTTGTCATGAATTACCAAAAAGAAAAAAAAAAGTCTAATATCTGGGCTGATCCAACAGCATTCACTCAGGCAAAACTCTCCCTGCAATCAATGAGTAAAAACAGGAACAGCCCCATAATGAAAGCTCTTTCTTAAAAATCTTGGCTAGTCTGGATAGCAGAAAGGTATGTCAACATAAAATTAGGCTATTGGCTAGAAGAAGCTTGGTAGTCATTATGGTTTTGTAGAAAAAAAGCCTACCTATGTATTATGGAGAAATGTAGTACGGACGGATATTGAAAAAATACAAAATGACAGTTACAGCCACATTTAACATTTTAAACAAGTTTCAACTCAATATTTAGTAGGTCTGTGGGGTAACTGATGTACAACTGCAAGGAAAATTTGGGCCCAGTGTTAGTTTCTATGATATATTTAAAACATTTTAAATGTTTTTCATGGGGTTATATTAATTTTAATTATACAATACCATTACAGTTCCCTGAATTGCAACTGGTCTCCCCAGTCACGTGACTATATAATTAATGACTGAAAGTACACAGGTCAGGGAACAGTTCTGCTCCCATTGAAGCTTTTAGAACCACATTGTGGAGGTGGCCTAACACATCTCATTTGAATCTACCTTCATGGCTTTGCTTGAATGTAATGTTGTCTGTCAATTACTGTTTAAAGCTAAGTGAGACTAATAGAGAATTGAATATGCTTAAAATAGCCTGTGTTTTTTTTTCAACAGGAAAAACAGTGTAGTAACTGGATCAAGGTTAAAAAGTCTTAAATTTAAATCTAGTCAGAAATTAGATTTTCTTTTCCTTAAAAGTCAGTCTTTCTGGTCACACTTCCAGCCTGACTGGTTTCAAAATGCTCAAGCATATGCCCAGAAAGATATTGGAGCAAATAATTAAGCAATCAGTTAGCAAACACCTTTAGAAGATAATAAGGTGATAAGTAACAGCATGGATTTGTCAAGAATAAATCATATCAAGCCAACCTAATAGCTTGCTTTTAACAGAGCAAAAAGCCTCGTGGAAGAGGGGAAGACCGAGGGTAGATGTGGTATATCTTGACTTTAGGCTTTTGATACCGTCTCACATGACCATCTCATAAACAAACTAGGGAAATACAACCTAGATGGAGCTACTATAAGGTGGGTGCATACCTGGTTGGAAAACCATTCCCAGAGAGTAGTTATCAGTGGTTCACAGTCAAGCTGGAAGGGCATGGCTTCACCTCAGTCAGTATTTATTTTGTGGGTCAATAATGCTTAATATTCACTAAAAAAGAGAAGTCAGTACCTGTTGTTTCATTGTACAGCACATCTCTTCATTTCAATAGTTCTACTACCTAAAGAACCATACAAAAATTCAAGTAAGAAATACAGAACAGGCCACATGTAAACATTAGTTGAAACAGTCAAAGACTCCACAAAGTTTTCTCATGATTGAAAGCAAATAAGCATTTCAGATAATGAAATACACCTGCTCACTAAATAGCACTAGGGGGTGAAGAGGAAGCGGGGGGAAACTGAGGTTAGGAAACCATCAGTCTGTGCTACATTATTTTTACAAGTATGATCTAATCTTATCAACCCTCATTTCTTTTGTGCATGGGCAGGTGAAACAACTTGTGCCCGTGAGGGATCAATGTTTGCAGGAGGAGCTAGCCCGTCAGCATGCTAATGAACGTCTGCGTCGCCAATTTGCTGCTCAGGCCAATGTCGTTGGGCCATGGATCCAGACCAAGATGGAGGCGAGTATCACTGAGGCATCAAGAGGAGGCTGTTGAATAGAACACATATCATTTTTCTCAGAATACTCCCTGATGTACACACAGAACATCAGTGGCCTTCAGTGCCCTGCACCAGCACTCCAACATTAATGTAATCAAATCTTTTAAAGAAGGGTTCTAAAATAATCAGAGCTTATAAAAGCAAATAAAAACCTGTCTAACAAGGTGAAATCATTTTGGAATAGGTTTTTGAGAAGTGAATGGGGACATTAGAGAGGTGATTTTCAAAGGCACACAGAACAGATAGGCACCTGATTCACATTAACAGTCCATGGGAGCTGGACCTTTGAAATCCTCTCCTAGATTATGAATATTAGTTTGGTTGTGGTCTTTCTATATAAATACCATTGTCCCAATGTTGTCCTGAGATATGAGTGTGCAACAGACAACATTCTCTAGTTTGGAGGAAGTTTTGATTGCCACTGATTCTTAGTGTAAAAAGTTTACGTTTTCCATGTAAATGTGTGGCAAACTAACAAACCTGGAGCTTAGATTGTTTTGTTTCTTTTTGTGTGACAGGAAATTGCCCGCAGCTCTATTGAGTTGACAGGGACCTTGGAGGACCAGATGAATCAACTGAAGCAGCATGAACACAATATCATCAACTACAAAACCAATATTGACAAATTGGAAGGAGACCATCAGCTTATACAAGAAGCCCTGGTGTTTGATAACAAGCACACAAGTTATACTATGGAGGTACTTATGAATTCAGTTCTGTGCTCTTAGGTTCATGTATCCACTTCCCCCAGTCTGAGGGAGTTGTAACAGAGGAAAGAATTTGGCAGACTTCCTAGTTTATTTGCAGCAGAAGATATACATTACTAAGGCTCCGTTTGTCTTGGCCGTAACTCCTGTGACAAAACCATGACTTTTGGTCTTTATTATGAAGCCTTATGGCCTTTGTCACCTGGTCAGCTGCTGCTGAGAAAGACCCCGGTCCTGGATGGAGCTGATTGCAAGATCAGAGCATAAAACTCCTTTATACATTTTATGTTGTGGACTCTGTATATGTTCATGGAGGGTGGAACATGGATTGTTATATGGGTATGAACTGTTAAATATTATTGTTTTAATTGGAACAAAAAGATATTTATTTGACTTTCCTCTTAATTTCCTCTTAAATATAGTTTGCCACGACTTTTCCTTTTTTTTATGTCATGATAAAGCCATGTCTTTTCCCGCATGTTTGCCATGACAGATTATCAACCAAGCCTCCAATCCTGTTGACACATATATATGAGTCACTTGACACATAGGAGTAGTCCCATTGAACTAAATGAGACTGCTCACATGTATAAAGTAACTCATGATTTTAAGTGTTCAAAGAGTTGGAGCCCAAGGTGGGAAAGTGACTATAACTGGAAAGCTTGGGAACCATGTTGGGTCAGCCAAATACTGTCCAGAATTAAACTGATGCTCAAAAATACAACAGCTCTTGAATCCAAGTGTTGACATCTAAGCCAACATCAGACTTTATGGCTAACATGAACACTATGATCAAGAACCAATAGAGGGTATGAACAAGTGTCAGTTTAGGAACTAATTTGATATTTTTTGCATGTCTGGTATACATGGACGGCAGGTGAGCACGCCCTTGGGGGAGGCTAGCCCCCAGCCCCTCCTGCTCTGCCCGAGGCCCAGCCCCTTTTGCCTCCCTCCCCCGCCGGAGCCTGGAGCACATCTCCCCACCCCTCCATGGCCACTGCCCCCCTCCACGTCCCCAGCCCCAGTGCTGGGCGGGTGGCATGGCCAGATTGCATTCTGTCCCAACACTGGTGGGCGGTGCAGCCATATCTCATCCAACCCCAGTGCTGGGCGAGTGGGCAGGCAACGTGGTCGGAGCACCCCCAGCCCCGGCACTGGGCGGGCAGGCAGCATGGTTGGAACCCCCCCAGCTCCGGCACTGGGCATGTAGGTGGCGCAACCAGAGCTCCCGCAGCCCCAGTGTGGCCCCAGCCCGGGAGTCTTGTGCACACCGTGGCCCTCAGCCTGCCTGCCCCAGCCTCTTGGCCACAGAAGGGAACTGCAGGCAGAAGGAGGCCTGGGGGCATAGTGTGGGTGGGGCCACGCCGGCTGTTTGGGGAGGCACAGCCTCCCCCTGCCTACGATACCCACTGCCCATGCTGTTATATTTGTAGTACCCATAATCGTAGCATGCAGGTGGTGGCACCAAATAACAATAACAATATATAAATAATTTCAGATTGCATTGTTGGTTTCTCTCTTACTGTCTTTGTTATCATGCTAGGAGTTCAGGTTTCATTACCAGCCTAAAGAATCCATGTTTTCTCTCCTATAGCATATCCGTGTTGGATGGGAACTCTTACTGACCACCATTGCCCGAACTATCAATGAGATTGAGACGCAGATCCTTACAAGAGATGCCAAGGGTATCACCCAAGAACAAATGAATGAATTCAGAGCATCGTTCAATCACTTTGATAGGGTACAGTACTCCAACTTCTTTCTCATCTAACAGTTCTCCAAAAGCAAGTCAGTATAACATTGTTTCTTTGCATTCCAAATACCAGTGTGTCTTAAAAAAAAAATAGGATGCACTAAAAAATGGATAATTTTTTTGAAGTAAAAAAGCTAACATAAAAAGAGGAGGCATATTCTTTTAAACTATAGCATTTATTATGCAGATGATTTAAAGATTAATTTCCGCTCTTCAATTTTGCTGTGGAATTAAAATTCAGAGAGAATGACAGCTAATTGAGTGCTTGTAACAACCTGTTAAAATAATGCAGGAGACTGACTGGATATTTTTGTGTATGCTACAAAGTGATGTGGTCCCATACTGTAAAGCAGTGGCCTGTTACACACTCTCAACAGCAGTTGCTGTCACATAGTAAGGCTTGATTTCTCCTGCATTATAACAAAAAGAAAAAAGGAAAAAATCAATAACTTTTCCCCCTAGAAATATTCTGTTCAGGGAAGCAACTCAGTAGGGGCAGCGATCATTTTCAAAGAAAATCCTTTCTATGCACAGGGATTGTGTGTTTCAGTTCCTTAGTTAGAAATGAATAAAGTAGGAAAGAAAATATCCTTATGGATGAATGTAACACGCTCTACTGGTGATTCTCAGTGCAATCAAAGAAATGAAAGAAGTAATCAAAATGCATGTGTAAAAGGTAAATAAAGAGATAGGTATGGATGCAGTAACAAAACAAAACTATTTTATGCAAACAGAGTTATTTTCATACATAAGAATAGGGATGTGAATGACATTCCCAGTTGGAAAACTATATTCACACACAATTTTGCTGGGTAGATGCTCATACAAATCTGTCTTCAAAATCCAGTGCAAATCTTAAATACTGAAAATGGCTGCTGTAATATAGAACCAGCCTGCTCCTTCCTCCTCCTCCTCCTCCCCCGGCTTCTTTCTGTGCGAATTCCTCACCTTCTCCGTCTTACCACCTGGATTCCCTGAAAACTATCCTGGGTTCCAGAGAGCTTCACTGACTCCCAGCCTGACTCTGTCCACCCCATGCCCAATGCTAGCTCCTCCCTTTCATCTCCATCCTGATATTCCGTTTCTTAGCTCCCCAACTCCAAAGTGGCTAAATGCATCTAGATTTGTGCTTGGTGTATATTGGATCCTGAGAGTCAACATTTGGTATCTGGCACTTCACACAAAAAGTAGAATTTTCATATATCTACAGTAGAAGCAAGGAGAGGGTAGATCCACAGGAGTCAGTGACAGATGTACTTCATTTTATTGAGACCCTAAATGTAATTGTAGTGTAGTATAATTCTTCCTTGTATTCACTAAGGAAGGAGAAGACAATATCATAGAGACAGAGATGCTTTTCCCAGGGTAAGAAAGAAGTAATATGCTGAAAAGCTTTCCCAATGCACTGGAGCAGATAACTGAGCAATTAGAGCCATTAAAAGCAGACAGAGCATCAGGCCCACAAAAAAATTACAACCTACAATTCAGAAAAATCCATTATGGGGAAGCAGGAACTTTGTGTAAAGATTCGACAGCTCCTTAAAGAGCATATGCTCCCCTCACGCAGCGTGGAGAAGGTTTGGAAGAGGTATGGCAAGTAAGGGATAAAGGTGGCTATGCCATAGTACAACTCACACTGTGTAGCCATTTCCAGCACTTCCGTAACTTTTATTCAAGCCTTCAGAGCAGGAATGTCTGCTCCGTGGCTTTAACTTTCCATGGAGGGGGTACTGTTGCCAGGCAATGGCAGCCCAGCAGAATGGACTGTCATGCTTCTGGTGCTGCAGAAGGCCTAGATATGCACAAGTTAAGGTCTATGGCAGCTGGCCCTGTTCTCATGGATCTGCAGTCTTTCCATGAACTGGCAGAGACACCCCCAGGTCCCAGAGGAAACAATATAGCAGAGCTGCAGTGTAGAAAAGCCTATATAACAGGGTGTAGGAGAGAGGTGGTGCTTCCACGCAACTTTAGTCAGGGTGGGGAGCATATGACCCTAAGAAAGAGGGTAAGGCCGAAGGCCTAGAGAGTAGTTAACATTCTCCAGTGTACAAATTTAAGAAAAGGAGGCAAAATTTGAAAACTCAGCTACTAAGTCAGGCTTCCTGTGTGCAACAAATAGTGCTAAAAGGGAAGCTGTTTCAAAGCACACTAAAGAATTGTTAATGCGCAGTAGCAGGGTCCACACAGACAGTTAGTGCGCAGTAAGCTAGTTCAGGCTAGATTCACACCTGAGCTTGGTGTGAATTAAATGTTAGTGTAGACCAGCCCTTATTAAGGTATAAAATAGTGGGCAAATGTGACTCAGTCTACACAGACTAGAAGGAGGCAAACCTTTTTCATTGAACAAACACATGTGAGAGACTGAAGCTTCTTTTTCAATTTTATACCTTCCCTTCATCCTACCAAACTTAAACATTCAATGTCAGAGAGTAAAATGTATCAACTCTGCTTCAGAGTTTCTTCAAGTACACACAATTATCAATCCTCTAAACTGGCTGTTTACAGCGATAAGGCAGATTTGGACTCTGCTATGAAAACTGGAATCGGGGTGAATGAAATTGGATCATCCAAATGTATTTCTGTAACATCAAAGGCATCATATTCCCCCTGTGAGGCAGAGAGCAGAAATGGGTGTAGAGATCTTTAAAATAAACATTATGTTCTGAGGTTTGCTGACATATTTTCTTTAGCTAAATGAATATATTTGCTTCTAAATCTTTAAAACACGTGCATATTTGAAACAGGTACTGCCAGTATTTTCCTTCCCATTAAGAAAGAGTTACAGTATAGATTTGTTGTTAGCTTTATAACTACTGTAATCGACTATTGTTGCTAACCGTGGTACTGAATGGATGGGGCATTTAGAAAAATAAATAGAATTAAAGAGTGCAGTTCAGTGACAAACAATCAGCAAGAATCCAGAAACTGAAAACCATTCCTGACAAGTAGATTTTAACTATTTTAACACAACAGGGTCAGTTATGGATGCCTGAGCTCTAAGTTTCCTGGCACTTTTCCAGTTTAAATCAGATCTTAATGTTTGGAACTGTGCACATGTGCGTGAATATTATAGAGTATCAATGTGCAGAATCACTAAAAGCTCCACTTTTAATAGTTCATTTTGATCTGCATGAAACTAAACAGTTTATAGATGACTGCCAAGAACCGCTTCAATGAGATATAAATTTGAGAGGGGAACTCCTTTTTTCCTCTCCAGGAGAAAAAAAAATGGCAAATATTCAAAATCATAATTATCTTACCATTCAAACTCCATTACTATTACAGGGCCTGAGTCTCCAGTCTTGATCTGTTTGAGGAAGGGCATGAGGATCAGGCCCATATTATTTTAAGTGGCCTCTGTATGTCTTGACTATTGGAAAGAGAAACTGCATACTATTTAAAATGCAAAGGACTAGATTTTGGCTTGGACTACAGACCAACACAGGGGAGTTAGGAGAAGTGAGTTATCCCTTTAGACGTCTGCTGAAATAGTGAGCTTTGGGTCTGGGTGTGCTGGCGTAAGGTGTGCCACATGCACTTGAAGCAAAGGGGCAGAGAGAGCTTCCATCCATCCCCAATGCATCAACCAGCACAGCTGAACCATACAGGTGTCATAAATTGCCTTAGCTATAGGCCAAT